TGAAGGAGCACTGTGTCGTTAGTGTTGTTGGGCTGATTTGTTATATTTGAATTTTGTTATTGTGATTGAAAATCATGTAAAGTGTTATCATCTTGCAGACCTTAAAAAATTCTTGTTTCTTTCTGAATAAAAGTCATATCCCAATTGCATAAAGGGAGCGTGGAGCCTCTGGGGGCTTCTGTGAAGCCACGGGGCTGCCCCTCCTTGGGCTCCCTCTGCAGGTTGGCGGGGGGTGGGGGTGGCTTCTCTCAGCTGCTCAGACAGCTGTGGATCCTTTGCCCAACTCTCTGTCTTATATAAGCTTGTGGGCATCACTTTCCTGCTGTTGTCTCCTCCACTAACCTGGTCCTTGTGGATTTATCCCTTTTTTACAATCCCCTAGTAATTTCAGTGGGGCTTGGGGCAGGGAGAGGAGACTATCCCACTCGGGCAGTATGCCCAGTGTAAGCAGAGTCTGGGGAAGGTTCTGTAGGCACCACCGACGCCTCTCCAAGCTGCTGTCCTGGCTTTATCTGGCTTTCTGCTTAAATCCCTCATGAGGATTGATAAGGAGTTTCAGGTGGTGTCGGTCTCATCCCTTATTTGTTAGGTTCTATAGCCAACATTTTGATTGGGATGAAATTGAATTTAGAGAATAAAGGGAAGACTGAATCTTGCTGTTCACAAATGGGTACCTCTTTCCATTTTTCAGACCTTATATTCTCAGTGACACTTTGTCATACTTGTTTTTTTAAACTGAATTTTAATACCCCACTAAAACTCTAGATCTGTATGTCATAAGTGGGCTTTTTAAGAGTCTTGAAGCTTTTCAATCGCCCACAAAGGGCAGGGATGGAGAAGGAGGGAAGGGCGGCAGTTAGCCCCCGTCCAACCAGATTGAGCCACTTTATTTCATATACCAAGTACTGTCTAGGGCTTTGTGGGGGAAAAAAGGTCTTACTGCTAAAAAGGTTTGAAAACCATCACCCTAGACTTTTTTAAAAAAATGTGATAAAATATACATAAAATTTACCATCTTAAGCATTTTTAAGTGTCCAGTTGAGTAGTGTTAAGTGGTTGTGCAATCATCACCACCATCCACCTCCAGAACTTTTTCATCTTAGTTCTTGCAAAACTAAAACTCGACACTTGTCAAAAAGCTCCCCATTCCCTCCCTCCCTCGAGTCTCCACTCCAGACTTTTTAAAGACAAAATGAATGGGTGGCTTCAGTTACAGAATAAAATGATCCGCGTTTGTTGAAGGATACTACATAAATATACAAAGACTTGGTTAAAAAACTCTATAAGATAATTCACACTTTCTGGACTCAAAGTAAGGACTAGTTACTCAGGTTGTGATTCAGGTGCAGGGAGTTATTTTAGAACCGAAAGCATCAAATGCACGTATTCTTGCTTTTGCTTTTACTCACCAGTCGGCCCCCTGAAGCATTCGATAACGAATGCTTCAGGGGGCCGACTGGTTGGCTGAACCTCAGAGCCTCACTTGTCAGCAGGTTGGCTGAACCTCAGAGCCTCACTTGTCATTTCATGATGTCTTTGTAAACCTTACTTGTTTCCTGCTTAGTAGGGATACGCAGACCTAAAAGAAAGGAATAGGATTTTATCTACATTCCCTGTAACAGTCTGAACAAAAACAGGACCCCCGGGGCCATCAGGGACTCCATCTGGATACTTCTGTGTTGTTGCCCTGACAACCCTGAGGTATTTTAATTTTTTAAATTAAGAAGGTAATACAGTTTAGCTTTCCTCTCTGAATTTAACCCACTTTCCTAGAGATCTAGCTAAAAAAATAAGACTTTCCCAAGATTTTGAGACACTTCGCAAAGCGAACTTATACTTATGGTATAAGTCATCCCTGCTTATTACCTGTAGTGATTGAAAATGAGGATTCCATCTCCAAAGCTGTTTAGAAAGCTGCCAATCAGAGGCCAGGGGTGTCTGTCGAGTCAGACGCTGTTCTCTGAAGATTCCCCAGGCCACGGACTCACTGTTCCCTCGCTGGGGCAGAGCTGGGTGAGGACAGAGGCTTCCACGTTCTGCTCTCTGCCATTTCGGACACACACACAGGGCGGGCTCAGGTCCTTTTCAAGAGATGGAGTGCATTCTTCGCTTGACAAGGAATTAGCTCTCATCTGGTTTGACGTGTATCCGCAGGGGCTGGAGATGGTGAGGGTCCTGGCTGGGAGACTGCGCGCACACATGCACTCACAGGAGGTGTGGCTGAGTGTATATGCAAAACACGTGAGACGGGCACTGTGTTAGCGGCTGGGTGTGGCTGTGGCTCAGGGCCAAGACTCAGCATGTGCCCCCCAGGGCCCACCCTTTACAAATGCCCTCTTGACAGCGGGTCCACCTTCCGATCCAGCGCCATCAGCTTCACCTAGACCTCGCGGGGCCGATGGTGGCCAGATGGCCCCCTGCTTGCTGTGGTGGGTGCCAGGGCTCCCCGCGGTCAGGGCAGGGCCGGCTCCTGGTTCCAGACGACGGCTGCTTGCAAAAGCCATCGCTACCACTGCTAGGCCGGGCCGTGAACATCGTGCTTCCCCCCCTCGCTCTCTGCTCCTCTGGCCAGAGGAGCGCAGAGGGCCAGCAGAGGGCCGTGAGCAGGCGCCGGGAGCCGGGCTCAGCAGGAGCCTGGAGTGGAGCAGAAGGCCTGCTGGGGAATGGCCCGCCACGGCAGCCAGTGGAGGGGGTCAGCTGCCGGGAAGGTGGGGGAGGTCACAGCAGCCGGTCCAAGTCGCCTTGACAAATTCTGCACGTGCAGCTTGATTTTGAAAATGCTCGTGAGGGAGATGGTCATGAGGATGAGGTCACGGAGACCGTGGGACGGCGGTGGCAGAGATGGCATTTTGCTTATAATGGGGCAACGGTCTGCGGTTGTCTGGTGCTAGTGGTGACAGAGGTGGTAGGGGGCTGGGGGGCGGGGTCGCCTCACAGGACTGCTGTTCTGTGGCTGCAGAGGAGAGGATGGATGAGTGTGAGGCCGGCGAGCAGGCCACGTGGGCGCCAACGGTGGCGGTGCTGGGGGTGGTGCTCCTGGCCATCGGGGGTGGTGGGGACCTGCGGTCCTGCAGGGGACAGCGGCGGCCAGCGGGGGATGGTCGGTGGTGGTGGCGGCGGGATCTGTGGTTGCTGGTTTGGTGGCTGTGGCGCAGTGGGGACTGGGTACATGGCTCTGTGGTGGCCATTTTGCTGGCCTGGGACAAAGACCGTGGGGACAATGGAGGAGGCTAATTGAATCTCCCAGTGCACCTGTTTCCCTGGGGATTCCCGTCTGAATCCGCCATCCACCGGGGGCGATCCCTGCCCGGCCGCTGGCAGTCCCTCCGCTCCCCTCTGCCCGCAGCGCTGTCGTCCTCCGCATCGGTGATGTGGCTCCTGGCAGCTTCTCACGGGACCAGCCCCTCAGCCAGCAGAGTCAAGGCTTATGAGCGCTCTTGGGCCCAGACCTGTGGCTGCATGTGTTGGCCTCAGGAAGGAGCAGGAGCAGAATATAGGGGCACCCCACACGGAGACTGGTGGGCTGAAGGACCCTAGTTTCAGAAGCTTTCAAGGGGGCACTTTCCAAGTGTGAAGGGGGAGCTGTCTGGGATCATGCCTGCGAAGTGACTGTCAGGGGTCCTGGGCCTGTGTCCTCCGCCCAGTGTGGGGGAGCAGTGCCTTCCTCACGGGGTACAGAAGAATGACCCACGGCCGGTGCTTCACGCGGGGCCGTGCACATACGAAGGGCCTGGTGAGGAGATGCCAGCTCTTCCCCTTCTCGCGAGGCAGCCCTGTAGCTGCTGGCTCCGACTGCAGAAATCACACATTCCCAGCCTGTGGACTCCATCCAGCCGATTACTACGTTTTATGTGTGCTGTTGATATTTCCGCGACATTTTTTTTTTTTTATTTAGTTGCCAACACTTGAGTCAGAGATTTCACACACAGATGTAGATTTCCAACCCCCCTGGAAGAATGGGAAGACTGGGTGCTTGGGTCCCCACCTCCACAGGGCAGCATTAGGTGGAACACAGGCTCTCTGGTTTGCCGCAGGCTCCACCTCTCCCTACAGCCCCTCCCCTCCCCTGAGTTTGGGCCCCCGGCTGCAGCCTCACCTCTGTGGCTCAGTGTCCTCCAGCAGTGCTCTATGCCCACCTGATCTTTCCTGTGCCACCCTCCGAGCCACAGGTCCACCGCACGGACCTCCTCGAGGGAAGGACCTCGGTGTAATTATATCTGGATTTGGGGTGACCAGGAACAGACCTGGAAGTATTCTCTCATGCGGTGGAGGACAGTTTATTAGTTTAACAGCTGGCACCAGAATTCCTCTGAGGGAGAGAGGTGTCTTGTTGGAAGAATTTGGTGGCCATTGCTGGGGGTGGAAGTGGGACTCCAGTTTGCAGGTGTCTGATGTCAGCACCCGGAGTTGTTTCCATGAGAAAGGGAAGAATTTGTTGTTTTGTTTCGGAAGAAGAGGGCTAGAGAGGAGGAAAGGGACAGAGAGCTTGTAAGAGAAGATGAGAAAGGATGGGGCCAGGTGAGCCGGTGTCTTCGTGGCCAAAGGCCGTTTTGGAAACAGTGGTGTGCCTCTCAAGGTATGTCTGTCAGAGAGATGGAAATGGCTCTTCTCCCCCCAACCCAGGGTATTCCGTGTCTCCTGCTCTGCTCACTGCTGTGTTGGGAGAGCACGCTTTCTGCGGAATTGGGAGGGGAGCTGAACGCTAGTGTGAAGTTTGCCTGGGCCCTCCGGAGTGGCGCATGCGGGAAGAAGGGCCCAGGACAGAGGAGAGCGTGAAGCCCGGAGTCTTGGGACCTGTCGGGCAAGGAGGAAGGGCTCAGGATGTCCACAGACTTGGGGGACTGGGGGAGGCTGGTGTGGAGGAGGTGGGACAGCCCATTTTACTAGGAACCGGGGGGACAGAGAAGGCCCAGTTGGTATCTGGTTATAACAAAACAGACCCAGTTTTGCAGAAAGAGCCAGACGTGGGTGCTGAGAGGAAAAAACCCAAAAATCTGAGCTTGGATAAAATGGTTGAGCAGCCAGTTTATTTTGAGTTACTGGTGGCTCGGGCTGTGCCCAGGCCTGGCGGGGTCTGGGGAGGGGCTCAGGGCCTGGCCCGGAAGGACCAGGCCTGAGCCCAGGCCTCAGTCGAGGATCTCTGTAGCAGTGCACAGCAGGCCAGCCAGGAGAGCCAGGCCCAGCGTGGCCACGACAACCAGCAGCACATCCCACCAGAGCCCCGGGTAGGTCCAGGACGCCCGGAGCCGCCAGCCACAGCTGCCCAGCTCGAAGCCTGTCAGCTGGCCCAGCGGGCGGGCGGTGGCGAGCTCGGGGCTGGCGCAGCGGACGTGCAGCAAGGCCTCGGGCGTGCGGTCCTCCAGCCAGAGACGCAGGTAGGTGAGGCTGCAGTCGCAGTGCCAGGGGTTCTGCGTCACGTTGAGGACCTGCAGCTGGGGCAGGTGGTCGAAGGCGCCAGGGGGCACGGAGCTAAGGCTGTTATTGGCCAGCAGGAGGTGGCGGGTGTGGGCCGGCAGGGCGGGCAGGGCCGTGAGTCCCCGCCCCCGGCAGTCTACCCACAGCCCCATGGTTTCCAGGGCCTGGCAGGTGCACTCTGCAGGGCACTCCTTGGTGGCCTCTGCGGCAGCCCAGAGCAGCAACAGGGCCCCCCAGGCAGGCATTGGCAGGCTGGCTGTGGGGAGAGTGGCCGTGAGGTGAGGGAGGGCCTGGCAGTCCGCACCCCCTGCCAATGGCCGGTGGGACTGACCTGGGACAAAGGACAACTCACCTCCCTTCTCAGGCCTCAGCCTTCTCCTCTGTGAAATGGGGTAGTGAAGACGGCAGGAAGTGAAGTGTGCCCAACCCAGGCCTAGCTGAGCCTCCCTGGACACAGAACGCTCTTAGGAAGGGGCCAGGAGGTCCAGCCCCTTCTCGGTGGGGAGGGGTGCAGATGCCGGCTAGAGGCTTCCTAGTCCTGGCCCCTGGCCCCCAAGCTGCTCCCAGCCCCCACACCCAAGCCTGGGGTCAGGCCAGTGGTGTGGACTTCACAGACCACACCTCTTCCCATCGACTCCCACAGCTCGCCTGCGGCCCAGTGAACCCTTAGGTGAGACTCGATGTGGAAGACAGCAGAATGAAGGTGCTGAGGTGGGGAACAGGAGGCAGCCCAGAAGGGGTTCCCTCTGGAAAGACACGCATCTAGGCCAATACTCAGAGTTGGGGAAATTGAGGCCTGGAGACAGAGAGTGACTCGTGCAGGGTCACCCAGCGGTCTGTGTCAGAGAACCGACTCCAACCCAGGCCTCATGAGCTCCAGGCTCTTGCCTGGTTTGCCGACTTTCCTACGATTGCTTCCCCTTCCTAACACAGGCTCTCCCCGCCAGGGCCTGGCCCATGGCAGGCTGTGAATATTAGTTGAATGAACCAAGACGCCAGTGTCTCAGAGCCAGTGCCCCCACCCAACCCCATCTTCTGGAGGGGAAAGCTGAAGGTGGGACAGGGGTGGGCCTGGTGGCTGGCCGTCCCACCCGGGTGGTGGTGCGCTGTGGGAGGTGGTGCTGGGTAATAAGAGGGCCACTTACTTGTGAGGCCTGCAGCCGGCACCCCTTTCTGTGGCCTGAACTGTCCTGCTTGAGGCTGAGGTGGCAGCTCTCTGCGAGGCAGTCGGTGGTGGCCGCTACTTGAGTGGGAGGAAGGAAATGATGAAAATAGCCGGGCTTATCCCCCACGTGCAGCCCTGGGGGGCCGTCTCCGGAGGCAGCGGGCCCTCAGGGTCCCGGGGACTTGGGCCCTGAATGGTAGGTCAACCTCTGTTTACAGAAGGGGGTCCCACAGTGCATCCCTGTGGACCACCAGTGCCTCGCTGGGCCTCAGTATGGGGTCTGTGGGAAAACCAAGGCGGCCCCTCACCAGGTCCCAGGAGGTGGGGAAGGCTTCCAGGAAGGGGAGGCCTTGGAGCTGAGCGGCTCTGCTGGTTGTTCCTCCAAATCTGAGGCTTCCTCATCTGTAAAATGGAAGCAATCGTCCCTGTCCTGCTTGCATACGCAGGGTGTAGGTGGGGCGGCTCCTGTGGGCTGAGAATCCTATGGGGGGAGAATGACATCGTTTTAAAATTTCTGTGGTTCTTCTGAATAGGTCAAGGAGAAAGTCCCTTTTCGGTGCCACTGCATCTTTAGCACCTTCTAAACCTCCTGATCCTTTCCTTTCACAGGAGGCTGAGGGCCTGTGGCTTGGTCTCCATCAGTCATTGGTCTCTAGCTAGAATTTAAGATTTTTTTTTAAAGACTTTACTTATTTATTTGACAGAGAGAGACAGCGAGAGAGGGAACACAGGCAGGGAAAGAGGGAGAAGCAGGTTTCCCGCCGAGCAGGGAGCCCGATGCGGGGCTCGATCCCAGGACTCTGGGATCATGACCTGAGCCGAAGGCAGACGCCCAACGACTGAGCCACCCAGGCCCCCTAAGATTGTTTTTTTAATTTGCATTATATTTACTTCTATAGCTACATTTTACCTAAGGGAGTGACATCAATTTTCCATTTATGTTAGTGATAAAGAGTTCCCTTTAAAAGAGAAATGGATTTTCAGTTTATTTATTTTTTATATTAAAAAAACATTAATAAAAATCAAGCCTAACAGTAAAATATTATACAAAAGTATATTATAAAATTAGAACATTCATGTAGTCATTTTATAATAAGTTATAAAAATTGCACTCATGAAATATCAAATCAGTCAGAAAAGGGCTTGCAGAGATGGCACAATTCGTGCCCGTGGAGAGTGTGAGGGGGGCTACTGAAGTGGGGGAACCCCTGGGGTATAGCAGTGCTTTGGGAACAAGTAGAGGGGTTCTAGCAACTGAAGTAAACAGAGCCCTTGCTAGAGGGCCCCGGGAGAGGAGCCCAGAGTGAGGGGCCACTGAGGAGAGGAAGGGGTCCCCTGGGCCATTCCTGTGGTCATGGCCAGTGTCAGCCCTGGACGCCAAACCTGACAAGAGGGTCCTGGGCCCCCCGCGATGCTGCCGGCTGAGGATCCCCTGATGCTTGAGCAGCGCCAGGTGGTACCCTGGCCAGGATGGAGGGCACCTGGGCGCCACACCCACAGTGACAGCAGCAGAAGTCAAGGGCAGAGGCCTGAGGGGGGCTTTTTTTTTAAGATTTTATTTATTTATTTGAGAGAGAGAATGAGAGGGGGAGAGAGCGAGAGAGAGCACAAGCAGGGGGAGGGGCAGAGGGTAAGGAAGAAGCAGACTCCCTGCTGAGCAGGGAGCCCGACTCGGGGCTTGATCCCAGCACCCTGAGATGACCTGAGCTGAAGGCAGACGCTTACCGACTGAGCCACCCAGGCGTCCCTGAGGGGTGCTTTAAACACCCCATTTACACACTACCCTAGACCCATAGGAGCATGCCTTGCGTTCATACAGAGTATGGGTGTTTTACTTTTTTAGCATCTTGCAACTCGGAGCCCCCTTCGAGGCACGCTCCTGTTCATCTGTATATTTGTCATCTGCTTTCCGCGACAGCACAGCAGCTCCCCGAGGGCTGTGTCCGTGGTCAAGCCATGGGGACTAGGTCAGCGGCCGCACCTCGCAGGTCCTTCCTTACTCTGTGCCGGGTGATTGCCGGAGGGAGTTGACGCTTTGCCCCGGAAAGACTCCATCAGCAGGGAGGACCCTGGTCCTCTTCCAACCCAGCTCCTCATTGTGCAGATGCCAGCAGGTCGCTCACTGACTCGCTGAGAGGCTCCCTTGCCACCGTGGCCCCGTGGCCCCGTCAAGGGCCCGCTGCTCCTCGGTCACCTGGGATTGGGTTTGGCTTGGTTTTTTAAGTACCCAAAGATGTGTATTGCAGCGTTGCTAACAGCAAAGCAAAAAGCTGGAAACAAAAGGAATAGTTACTGGTGCCTGCACACCACAGGGTATTATACGGACATTATGTTAAATGAAATAAAACTGCATGAATTGTGTTGGGGAAATATCCGTTGTGTTGTTGAGTGACAAGAGTGAAATGCACGAGAGAGTAAAGTGATACCCCATTTTGGTAAAACAAACTGTGATAAACTATCCTTGCTCAGGATGACTTGCGAATGTGGGCCTCCTTATTTCTTATCGTGAGCCCCTCTCAGGCCAGCCTCTGTCCTCCCCTGTGGCCGGGAGGCCGGGATCGCTCCTGCCAGGCCCAGCGGGGCTTGTGTTCTCGCCCTCCGCTCGGCCCAGCTCTGCCCTCTGGGAAGGAGCTGCGCATTCACTTTCCTGTGAAGCCCAGGGAGGCTGCCCGGTGTGCCCAAAGGGCCAGCCTCCGCAACCTTCTGATCCCTGGCCCAGAGCAGGGTGGGGAGGGAAGGTGTCATTTGGTCCTCTGGAGTCATGCCTGCTGTGAAGACAGCTTGCTCCAGTACCTGGCAGGTACTTGGTGAACACTCTCATCAGAACCTGGACCCCAGACCAGGAACCTCAGCCTCCATGGACCTTCCCTTCTCCCACTTGTGGACGCCTGGCCTTGTCTCATCTTCATCTGCCTTCATGCCTTTACAGCAGGTGGGGAAGGAGTCCTGGTGAGTGGCGGTCCCCCAGCCCCCAGGCTGTGTTTCCTGACCTGACCTGACCTAGTTGGGCACATACTCTTCCTTTTGGGCCTCTGAGATTTCCCTCTTATTTTTAGCACGTACAACTTAAAAAAAAAGAACCAACCAAACAAAAAACAGCACACATGGGAACTCATTTTTGTTGTGGAAAAACTGAATGTTCAGATGAGCAGGAAGAAGACAATAAAATTTTCCCTCATTTCCAGTATCAAGCAAGACTGCCTTTTATTTTTTTCCTGTGTGTATTTTTTTTTCTTACCCCAAATCAGGTCATTTGGGGCCCATGCTCTTCTGGAACCTCCTTTTTCCACCTGTGAATACACCCACATATGCCACCCGTGTTTGCCATGGTTCCATTGTATGGATATGGCAGCTTTTATTTAAGGAATCTCTGGCCATAAAGAGCATGCCTTGCTCTCCTTATCTCAGTCAGACAGGCCTTTGTGGGGGCAGAGGGTGGGAGAGGGGCAGCTCTTTGGGCTTCCTGAGGTGGGGAGGCTCCTCCTTCCAGGGCTGCCCAAGTTGGCTGGCCCATTATCCTACACCATTTTCCCTGTGGAGAAACTGAGACATTCTCCTTTCCTGCCCCTTCAGGCTACTTACTAGGTCACCTCCCACTCCCTATATGTGGAGGCCCATTCTGTCTGGGCCCCCTCCCTCTTCTCAGTCTGTAAACATGCTTATGATCTCCTTTATTCCGGAAAAATCTTGTGTGTGTGCACGCATGTGTGCATGTTTTGAACACCACAGCATGCTCCCTGCCCACTCCCCTCAGCCCTTCAGTTCACAACTAGCCCAGATACAGTGGATACTTCCAGCGGGCTCCAAGTCCTATCTCAGTCAGGTATGTTCTCTCTTGGCTTCCAGTCCAGCTGCACCCGCTTGCCCACCCATCTCCAACGCCAGCCCAGACCTGGGCATCCTGTTCTCCCTGGACATGCCCTCTGAGTGTCCTACAGGAGGCTCATACCCACCATGACCTAAACCTGGGTGCCTTTCCCCCAAAAGCCAGCCCTCCTCAGTGTTCTCCGCCTTAGGGAGGGCCAGCTGCATCCACCCAGTCACCCAGCTGGAAACCTGGGGCACCATTAGGGATGTCCTCTCTCCCCCACTGCCATATCCCATCAGCTGCCAAGTTGGCCAACTGCCTTCTGCATATCTGCGGACTTCTCCCCTTTGGGGTGGTTCTCTGCTCACTCAATGTCCCCTCCTCTGGCCCTGTCTTCCACCTCTGTCAAGCAACCCTCACCCCTCCTTTCTCCTCTGACATCCTCCTCCACATCTAGAATGGGGCCCAGCTCTCCCCCAGGACCTTGTCCTCTTGCCTCTTCTTGCTGCTCCCTGTGATTTCTCTTCCTCACGCAAACCTCAGCTCTTTTGATATGCATGTTGTCTGCCAGGCCACCTGCTCCCGCCTGCTGCTCCCCATCCTGGTCACTCCTCTTGTGGGTGACCCCTGGGCACAAGCCTTTCTGTCCACCATGAACATTGTCCTCCCTCTCTGTAATTCCAGCATTCATGTGGATGACCCTTGGTCACCCTGGCCTCACAGTCCATTGGCCTCTCCTGAACTGTGCTCCTGCCCTCGGGTCCCCCCCAGCCACTCACCCTCACAGTCCTACCCCAGACTGGCCATCATCAGCAACTGCTCTGCCTCGAAGCCTTCGTGCAAGCACCCCACCTCTTGACTACACCTCCCCATTCCAGCACAAGTCCTCGAGCATACCCACTTTGGTCCTTCTCCAACCTCACTGAGATCTCTGGGCCAGTGGTCTTATCACTGTACTTGTATATTTTCAGCGTCATGGCCTCACAAGCTGATTCGGGGATGACCACTGTCCTTCGGTGTCCACTCTTCCCTTCTTTCACACAAATAGAATTTTAGCTGGACATGTGGCCCTCAAGCTAAAGACTACATTTCCCAGCCTCCTTTGCCTTAAGATGTAGTCGTGTGACCAAGCGTAGGCTAATAGGAAAAGAGGAAGAAGTGATCGGTTCCGCTTCCCACTGGCTGCAGGGGGCTGGGAAAGCCATCTTGGTTCTTGGGGTGTAGCCCTGACTTGGGGATGGTAGAGCAAAAAGATAGAAGGAGCCTGGGTCCTTGATGGTTCTGGAACTGCCATCTAGCTCAAGCATGGCTACTTGGACTTTTTCCAGAGAGAGAGAGAGAGAGAGAGAGAGAGAGAAATTTTATCTTGTTGAACCTTGTCTTTTCAGGTTTCTGTTACAGCAGCCCATGTGCCTCTGAGGGCAAACCGGCCAATCTGCCTGTAGTGTAGGTGTGTCCTCACACATTCTGCCTTCCCACCTGCTTCGGCACAAAAATGTCCTGCTGCTACGGGTGGGCGCAATTCCCAGGAATGCCTCCCAAGATCCTGCACCCTAATC